AAGTTATCAAAGAAACTATGGATTTGATGACCTCCAGGCCATCTTGCTCCAAATTGGCCTGGTCGCTCTCTGGACCAGCTGCCCGGCTGGAGTATTGGGGCTTCTCTTCACCCTCACCATTCTCTCCACCAGTCAGGTTTCTTGGTTACAAGTGAAAAGCCAACTCTCATTGATTAATCAGGGAAGGAGCTGACAGATCATCTGACATATCTGCTGCACTGTGCATGTCATAGTTCTGTTGGGGAGTTTGAGGAAGAATTAGTGATTAGTACATTGAAAACAAAGCAAATGAAAAGATGAGGCAAGTATCAACTCCAGGAAAAACAAAAGGTTGAACAAGAAAACAAATGAAATTGTAGTACACTAGTGGACTCCATGATGCATACACGATGGCAAAGTGCTATTACCACTGAGTACTGGGTGCCAGTTTGTACCCCTGACACTTCTGTGCCAAGAACTCAAACTCGCAGCCCGTCACTGCTGCTACCTCCGTGGCTATGGGTATAGTACACACTTTCCGTGGCTATGGGTATAGTACACACTTTATCCCTCTCTCTGTCAAAATATGACATAGGTGCATCTCATCAATTAAGCCCAGGGCACAGGTTCTGGTTACAGGAGAGGCTTGGAAGAGAATACTTTTAGTTCCCACGGTGAGGTAGGTGTTTGGTTCTGTTTTTCTCCCTATTCCCAAGACTCAAAGTAAGATAACAGAGGAAATATAGAAAGCCATTTGACAGCTGAGCGAAAGGAGAACAAGAGACAATGGCACATGGTAGTACTTGGTCCTCTTGGTTTATTCTCTCATTTTAGTGGAGTACATCCTCAGTAGCTTCCTTGAAAAGGGGTATAAAGTAGGTGTGTGTGGGTGCTTGTGGGTATGCGTGTGTGTGAAGTTTTTGAAAATACATGTATCCAAACAAAGTCTTTATTCTATTATTTTGCTTGAATGGTGATTACAGAACTCTGGATTGGGAATTAATTTCCCTTGGGAATTTGAAAGAGTTGCTCGATTGACTTGTAGCTGCTGGTATTGCTTTCGTGATGTCTAAAGCCATTTCTTTTTTCTCTGTGGGATTTAGTAACTTTTATCTCTGGAGTTTTGAAAGTTAGTGATGATGTTAGTATATCTCTCATTTTAATGTAGTGGGTCTTTTATTATTCATTGTGCTGAGTACTACTCAGAGATTCTTAATGCAGAACCTCCTTCACATCTAGATTTTTTTCCTAGTTTCTTTGATAATTTCCGCTTCTCCATTCATCTCCCTTCTTTTTCTTGAGCTCCTGCGAGGTGGATACTGGGCCTCCCAAACTGATTCTCTAATTGTCTTATCTGTTCTTTCTTATTTTCCACCTATGAAGTATTTTTGTTCTCCTTTCTAGAAATTTATTTTTCAACCTTCCAACTCTATATTCTATTGAATTTTTTACCTCTATCAAAGCTTTAATATCTAAGAGTTTATTATTGTATTATAAATATTAATTCAAAAGAGACATACTGATGACTCCTGAATACCTTTCTTCTGTTTGTTTGTGTCTGTCTTTCACGTCAGAGGCCTCATTCTATGTGGAATGAGCCATGGCTGCCCATTCAAATTTGAGAGCGAGGCGGTAAAAGCTGTGCTAGGTCGGTAGGGCTGCTGCTTGGCCGGTATCACTGTGAAGTGACAAAGTAGTGGGCTAGCTGTTCCACAGGGTCCCACTCAGTCTCATATCTGAGGGCCATTTTTCTTGTGAGGTCAGTTTCCTTAAAGAGATGTTCTTCAAGGCCCTGCCTGGAGGGTGGGTATGAGCCAGGCTGCCATGTTTTGGGAGCCAACCTATGCAAACTTGCACTGAATCCTTTTGTTCCCAAAAGCAGTGCCTCCCCAGCCCTCAGCTGCTCTCCTCGCAGCCTCCTTCCACGCCAGGCTGGGCCTGAGCCGCTCCGGCTCAACACGGCCTATGGGAGACCGACATCTTCGGCTGGAGTGGGGGAAGCCACAAGGCTATGTGGGAAGATGGAAGGGCCTGTTGCTCCAACACATACTTTCAACCAGTCTTCCTGCTTCCAGCCCTCCCTGGACACCATGGTCAGGAACACTCTGCAGCTCCCATTCTTGAGCCTTTGTGGGTGTTGTGCTTGCTTCCCACAGCACAGGGCATCCCATGTTCTAAGCTTCGCCTCTTTCTCATCCATCTGCTTTCTATCTTTCAAAACTTTTGCTCACATCCCATGTTTTTATAAAGATTTATACCCTTCTTTTTATTCCCTTACTCTCATTTGACTGGCCTTTTGAAACAGAAGAGAGATGAACATATGCATTCAATCAGTTATGTGGAAGTTCATAATAATATTTAACAATAAATAAAAATCAATTTTCCAAAGATACACACATAGAAGACTCTCTGGAGGAAGTCGGGGAGGATATTCCACAAAGGAAACAATGGTTCTCTTGGTGATGAGGATTATAAAAGAGTTATCCTTGCAATTTATTTCTGTATTTTATAAATTTTCACCATTAAAGAGTTTTATGAATAAAAAGGTATGAGTAACCTCATACACGAAAGTAAACTCGAAATGGATCACAGACTTGAATGTAAGTCATGAAACCATAAAACTCTTAGAAGACAACATAGGCAAACATCTCCTGAATATAAGCATGAGCAGCTTCTTCCTGCATCTCCTCGGGCAAGGGAAACAAAAGCAGAAATGAACACATGTGACTACATCAAACTAAAAAGCTTCTGTACAGCAAAGGACACCATCAGCAGAACAAAAAGGATCCCACAGTATGGGAGAATGTATTTGTAAACGACATATCGACAAGGGGTTAACATCCAAAATACATAAAGAACTCACACACCTCAACACCCAAAAAGCAAATAACCTGATTAAAATATGGGTGGAGGATATGAAGAGACAATTCTCCAAAGAAGAAATCCAGATGGCCAACAGGCACATGAAAAGATGCTCCACATCACTAATTATTAGGGAAAATTCAAATAAAAACCACAATGAGATATCACCTCACACCAGTTAGGATGGCCAGCATAGCAAAGACTAAGAACAACAAATGCTGGTGAGGATGTGGAGAAAGGGGAACTCTCTGCTGGTGGGAATGTAAATTAGTTCAACCATTGTGGAAAGCAGTATGGAGGTTCCTCAAAAAACTAAAAATAGAAATACCATTTGACCCGGAAACTCCACTCCTAGGAATTTACCCTAAGAATACAAATTCTCAGTTTCAAAAAGGCAGATGCACCCCTATGTTTATTGCTGCACTATTTACAATAGCCAAGATATGGAAGGAACCTAAGTGTCCATCAGTAGATGAATGGATAAAGAAGATGTAGTACATATACACAATGGAATACTATTCAGCCATAAGAAACAAATCCTACCATTTACAACAACATAGATGGAGCTGGAAGATATTATGCTCAGTGAAATAAGCCAGGCGGAGAAAGACAAATGCCAAATGATTTCCCTCATTTGTGGAGTATAACAATGAAGCAAAACTGAAGGAACAAAGCAGCAGCAGATTCACAGACTCCAAGAAGGGACTAGCGGTTACCAAAGGGCAGGGGTGGGGGAGGGCGTGTGGGGAGGAAGGGAGAAGGGGATTGAGGGGTATTATGTTTAGTACACATGGTATGAGGGGGTCACAGGGAAGACAGCATAGCACAGAGAAGGCAAATAGTGACTCTGTGGCATCTTACTATACTGATGAGCAGTGACTGCAATGGGGTATGGGGGGGACATGATAATACGGGTGAATGTAGTAACCACATTGTTTTTTCATGTGAAACCTTCATAAGAGTGTATATCAATAATACCTTAATAAAAAAGTATGAGGATTAAAAATTATTATTAAAATTATCTTTCTGAAATAAGAATGAAGGTAGTGTAAACACGTGTATAGAAGAAACTTTAATCCCAGCACAGGTCTACACAATCTTTTTTTTTTTCCTTTTTTTTTTGCCTATGTTCCAGGGAGTCCTAGGATTCTACAGAAGCACCCAGAGCCTTCAGAGGGTGGTAGGAGTGGGGTAGGGTGCTAAGTGGAAGGAATTTAAGGCCAGTCTCTACTGGTACCACAGTGGCATTCTGTTTTCAGTTGCTTTATATGTAAAAATTCTGCTTAATATTCTTATCTCTTTAAAGGGAGCCATATTAACAAAGAAGTATGAAAACTACTGATTAAGATCTAGAGAAAATGAGGTTGGGGTTGGGGTAAAAGCCTCCAAGGATGACCTCATGCTTTTACCCCATGCCCCTTTCCATCAGAAAGGGTGGTAGCTGCTCAAGCGTCAAGAGGAGGGGAAATGTGCTGTGCTCCCAGAGAATACACAGTCCCTAAATTGCTTGCAAATGGCACAGATGGCCTACCAATCTGGGGCTTGGTGCCCCACCCAGCTACCACCAGATGCCAAATGGGGTGCTTAACCAGTGCTCAGCCACAGTCAACCTCTGACCTCAGTTTCTTCATTTGCACCAGGAAAGGACTGCCTTCATCTTCCAGGCTATGTCCTAGAAGGTCCAAGGAGTATCCTACACTCTTGAGCAACTGTCAACTCTCTGGAGAAATAGAATGTCCCTCTAAAGACTCCTTGAGAAGCAACACTGAGTTATAAAATTCAATCCACTTCCTCTGGAAGAATGTTTTCAGTTTTCTCTCCCCATACAGGACCAGCCCAACTCTACCATGACTGCAGCGAGTCACACATCAAATGCTGCAGCTTCATGAGGGGCTCTGGAGCTCCTCGGAGCAAAGCCATTCCTTCCTTTCCTGGGCAAGGGGCATCCCACTCTTGGGAAGCTGGCTGAGGTCTAGTTCACTTTCCCCATGTTGGCTCCTTGGGCAAAGCTGGGTCAGCCTCTTACTTTTGGCATTCTAGTCCTACAAAGGGTTCTCCTCTGGCTGCCTAGTCAGGGATATCAGATTCCAAATTCCTGACCTATCTACGAAATAACATCTCTTCTTCCCCCACACATCTGTTTCCTTCAGCCAACCTACCTCTCTGGAATGGTCCAAGAAAGACCAGCAGCAAAGGCCCTTCTGCCTGGCAGATTAAAGATGCTTTGGAATCAACGAGCTTCATTCCGCCCTTGCCTGATTCCAAGCTCCTTATCTCTCTGAAAAAAAAAAAAAAAAGAAAAAAATTTTTTAAAGAGAGAATCTTAGAAATCTGTGCATTCTCTCACAGGACTTTAGCTCAAAAGCAACTGTGTCATCTAGGTTTCGCTTTTGCAGACCTATCACATTCTGCTTGATGGGCCTTTTCTCACCATCTGCGTCAATGCCACCCCCGGCTCCCTTTGGTGGTACTAAAGCAAACCACAGGAGCATTTCCAGTGCCTGAAGCAGGAATATTTGTACGTACAGATGCTTGGTTTTTGAAAGCAAAGTAAGTGATCTGAGCCAAGCCTGGGTTTGAGTACCATTCAGTGGCTGCCAAAAGCAGGTTGGTGAACTGAAGATCCCCATCCAAGACCCAAATCACATCAAAAAGGAAGATTTATCCCTGCTGGCTGGAGATGAAAAGGAAGGGTGTTGTGGGAGGGGGCCGTGCACTCACGGCATCATCTGTAGTGTTTCTCCCCCCAGCCCCTATGGGCCACTCCTGGAAATAATTTGACCCCAGAAAGATAAAGACACCTGAGCTCCCAGCCAGCTGGCTTCCAGCAGTAGGAATCGCACTCCTTTCCCCTACCCCGGGGCCCTGGGCACAGCTACCTCCACACAGGGAGACTTCTGCCTGGACCCCACCAGGGGTGGCGAGGGATGGATCCTGAGGAGCAGAAAATCAAAACCACTGGCTTCTCCGTGAGACAAAAAGCCCAGTGCTAGGAAGCTGTCGGAAAAGATGTCCACTCCAAGAACACATTTCCCAAAGACCAAGCAGGAATTCTCCCTGCTGCCAGCCCAGTCCCTGGAAGGACACCCCACGGATCCTGCCGCAGCAGCCCAGAAATGTGGGCTGGGCTGGTCCCTTCATTGGGCATCGGGGAGGACGGTCAGGACCTCTCTAAACACTGCCACCAGAGAGACGGGGAGGTCAGCGCCGGGAGCTGGGGAAGAAAAAGCTTCCATTGCTGACCAGTGGAGTTAACAAGAGGCCAACAGCAGCTGTCACAGGGAAATGTGACATGGTCTGCAGAAAGCACTTTCAGAACAAGGAACGACGGAGCAGCAAGCATGATGGAGCCGAGAGAGAAAGAGTTAGAGAAGACAGGGAAGGAAGTCGTCCTCGGGAATTCGGGTCAGGAAATAGGGAGCCGGGGCAGAATTCACAAGAGGGCGGCAGGGAGGAGGCTCTTCCCCGGGAAGAAGGTGCATCTTCTGCTCTGGCCCTCACTCTGGCCAGGACCCCAGGACCCCAGGACCCCAGGACCCGGGTCTGCCGCCCTCTAAGCCCTCGGGTTCAAGGGCAAAGCTTGGGAGGCAATGTTAGGAATGGGCAGCGCACAGGGTGCTCCGTTCCGAATCGGGGGCAGGGGGAGGGGAGGATGCGCTCGGCAACCGCTAGGTCCTGACAAGTAAACAGGCGCGTCCTCGTCCAGAGCCCGGCGGAGGGCCGGGCTCATCACATCAAGGGCGGCAGCGGGACACCGCGGACCCCGGCCCCGGAGGCACAAAAGGGATGCTTCGCGACCAGCAGAGGAGGGCATGAGCCGGCCATGCCGGGGGACCACAACGCGAGCGCGGCCCCAGCCTCGCCCTCCCCTGCGGGGTCCGGATGCCCCAGGAGCGCGCCCGCCTCCCCAGCCCTCACGCCCAGGGACCCCGGGTCGCCCCAGGAGGACAAAGCCAAGGGCAGGGCGGGGCGGGGCTGCGCGGGGACACTGGGACCCTGCAGACGCCCGCACAGGTGGGTTCGTACCGGGTGTCGGTGCCGGGGGCGGGGCCCGGTCTCCCTGGAGACGGTTACCCAGGGGACGCGGCGGGCGGGTCCCGGAGCGGCGGGAGGGCGCGGGCCTCGGGGCGGCGGCGCGCGGCCCGCGGGGGGCCTGAGGGCAGGCCCGCGGCGCCGAGCGGGCGAGCGGGGCTTCGGCGGAGGGGCGCGGCCCCGGGCGGGCGGGGCCGGCGGCGGGCGGGGCGGGGCCGGGCAGGGCCAGGCTGGCGGCGGCGCGGGCACCGTCCGCAAATTCTCACAGTCCCCGCCGGGCGAAGTGTGGGCGGGCTGGCGGAGCGCACGCCGCTGCAAGTCCTCGGACCCCCGCCGCTGCCTCGGGGGGGTTTGGGGCCAGGACCCGGGAGCCGGGAGCGGAATCCACGGCCGCGGGGTCCCGGATGGCGCGCGCACTCCGGCCTGGCCCCACTCCCGCCTCGCGACCAGAGAATAGAAAGTGCCTTTCTCAAAGTGAGCAAGGGCTGCTCGTCCGCCAAACCTCTTTCCGCTCCCCGGTTCCCAGGGTGTCACCAGAAAGGGCGGAGCATAGGGCCCGGTTCACAAACCGGGCTCTGGGCTCACACCCGGTGTGCAGTCTGTTCCCTGGCCGCTGGGCCTTCCTTTCCATCGGGGCTCCCCTTACATGTCGAATTCGGAAAATAAATGGGTTTGCCCAGTACTTTCACTACGATGTCCATTGGTTACAAGGAGCTCTGTGTCTTTCACAGAGCTGGTGCAATAACGCAGCGAACCCCTGCACGCTCCCGGGCGCACCGCACTGTAGGGTGCAGTTTGCCATTGGGCAGTCAACGAGAAGACCGAAGCTTGTGGGGGGAGGGTGGGGGTAAAGAATCATACACACACGTCCGCGCACAATCCCACCGCCTCCTAGCAGCACAGCTCTCTTTAGAACCACTTTGCTTTGGTGCCGGACCCACACGCTTCTAGTCCTGCATTGTCACGTGTCCCCTCAGAATGCCCTTTGGGGTCCAAAGCCCTGGACGTAAAGCTTTGCCGCAGTGGAGAGCAAGAGGAGGCAGTGTGAGGTTCAGGCTCACCTCGGGGGTGACCCCCCCCCCCACGGCGGGGCAGACGTGGGGGTGGAGAGTGGGACGCTCCTTAGAAGTCCCGACTGTCTCATCTCCGCCTGTGTCCAGGGCTCCAGGTGAGGCGCCCAGGCAGGGCCCATCCTAGCCCCCAGGCACCTCCCTCGGCACCTGCGTCTCTGAAAGCGGAGAGGAGGGCAAGGGGGAAACTCGGGCAGAAGCTCCCGGGAAGAAGCCTGAGATGAGAGGACCAGGCGGCTGGGTGGTGGGAGTCCCGGGACCTGAGTGACCTCTGCATCTCTTCCCCAGCACCCTTAGCAACCCTGTCCAAGTTGGGGTTCCGGTGTCCCGGGTATCTGAAGTGGAGAGAAGGGGGCTGGTCGAGGGGGAGAAGGCAGTCCTGCCCCCGTTTCCAGTCCCCAGATGTCAAACACACACACCCACAAAGCCATACTCACACACAGGCACAACTATGTAACACAGTGACACAGTCACACACTCCCTCACACTCACTCAGGATCCAAAGACACACACACAGACGCACGCTTTCACAAAGACATGCACACAATGACACAGACACGGAGAGCACAGACACTCATGCGCTTGCACACATTCCAAGACTGAACCTCGCTTGCCCACCCACAAGTGCAGGGCTGTGCGCTTGGCTGACTCTCTCTGGAGAAGGTGGAGCGTGGGCCACCAGGTGGGGACCACCACGTGCCACGCGCTCCAGCCCAGGGCTCTTTCAGCCAGATTCCTCTATCTCCCCCTTCCCTTCTCCTGCCCACAGCCTGGGGAGCAGAGCTGTGCAGCCAAAAAGACAGTCAATGGCACTTGATCCCATGATTAAACCCGGCTGGAGGAGAGCGGGGCCTCTGCTAAGAGGCCCTTGACCCCCAGTGCAAGGGGGTTTCCCAAGATGAGAAACAAGCATCTGTTAAGTCACAGCCAGACCTTGGATGGGCAGATAGAAGAGGAGTTCTCTGCCAGCCACCTGGCTGGGGAGGGGTGGTATACCCAACCACCTCCAATCAGGAAAGGGAAATGACAGGATAGGGCCAGGCCACCAAATAGATTTTCCAAGGGGCAGACAGGTGGCTCCACTCCCCAATCCCAGCTGTGGGTACCCTTCTCCCTAGCCCCCAGACTTCTCTTTCTCGCCAGCATGGATCTGAGTGAAAGACAGACTCAAAGGCAAGGTCCTCAGCAGCTATGGAACCCAATGGTCTGGCTTGGGGTTCAAATTGTGGGGTATCTGGGACAATTCTCAAGATGGCAGCATGAGTAGGGTGGTGGAAATCTCCTCCCAAAACCATATATATATTGAAAATACAGTGAATACAACTATTCCTAAAAGAGTGATGGGAAGATACAGTACATGAGCCAGGCTACATCTGCGAGAGCCCAACATCTTATGGAAAAGGGTAGAATACAAACCTGTGACCCAGCGGACCTGGGCACTCCCCCCACCCCAGCTCACCGGCAGGAGGAAGGGAATCAAAGTGGGGAGGGAGTGGAAGCACAGGACTGCTAAGTAACCAGCCCTGGTGGTCTGCCCCAGGAGCACAGACACACATTGCATGGTGCACTGGATGTTGGAGGAGCAGAAAAGTAAGGTCCAAGATTGAGACTGCAAACAGGTTCCCACAGACAGCTGCCCTGGGACAAAAGAAAAGTGGGCACTTCAAAGGTCTTAAAGGGACAAGGGTTTAACAGGTGAACAAAATCGTCCTGGCACACTCAGCCCAGCAGGCTGGGAACTTAAAGGAACTTCAGGTGCCCTAAGCCCCTGGGTGGCAACGCAGCTCCAAAGTCCCTCGTAGCGATAAGCAGTCTGCCGTTCCTTCCCCCTCTGCCGGCACTGCAAACAAACTGGCTGACCGGTCATTACTGCAGAACAGCCAGTGGGGAGCCCTGTCTACACCAACCACATAGCTTAGCAAAGAGGCTTCTCCCTGCATGTGGCTAATTGGCCCAGACCCAGAGGCTGCTCCCTGCATGTGGTTGACCGGTAGAGACAGTGGACACCTGCACAGAGTCTGGGAGGCACAAAGAGGCTTTGTTCTCGTGGCAGAACAAGCAGCACCTATGACCCCCGCCAGTGCCCCAGGCCATCCCGAGGGCCGCCCCACCTACAGCAGCTCAGGGGATTAACCCAGAGGCTGCTCCCTGCATGCAGTTGACCAGCACAGACAAC